AAGATAGAGAGCTGGAATCTCTCTGTTTTTTAGTGCACTGCAGGTCTAAGGCTGGAGCTTCTAGTTCTCTCTGTCCTTAGTAGTGGAGGCAGGGAGCAGGACGATCCTGGGCAGGTGCACAGGGTGAACCGTGCCCAGACGCCATGGAGCTGAGGCAAAATGGGGGCACCAAGAGGAACGAGCAGTGGAAAAATGAAAACGACCAGTCACTGGGTATACAGTCTGGCAGTTAGCAGACTCCCATGAATGCTGAGAACAATGAGCGGGCCAGAACCAGCCTGTGAGTCTCACATAGCTGGGCACAATGTTGCATTGTGACGTCACAGAGGATTGAGTGGAAGCGCTGGGAGTGGACCAGAAGTTTCTCACTGTGTGTGCATGACGCCGGACCCCCACGCTGCTTGGAGACATACTGCCAAACACAGCCCTGGAGCCCGGCATCCACTCTGCATTGTGGGGAAAGCGCACAACGAGGAGTGGGGGAGTACCGTCAACATGAACAAATTTTCAGTAAGTCCCAGACCCACCGCTGTATGGACAGCAGCATTGTAGAGGTGAAGAGCAAGTGGTTTGTTTGTCTGTTTCCTGGCTGTTGGCAGTGCATTGTCCTGCAGTGAAAGTAGAGCAGGCTTTAAGACAGCCCTTGTGAGCTTGCCATCTGGAGGGTCAGTGTTTGTTTCTGGGTATCTGTGTCTGAATACGTATGTCAGTGTATATGCATGTGTGTATCTGTATGTGTCACTGTTTGCATCTGTACGTCTCTGTATCTGTGTGTGTGTGTGTGTCATTGTTTCTGTGTATCTGGATGTGTGTCAGTGTGTGTATCTGTATGTCTGTACCTGGATGTGTGTTAGTGTACTTGCAATATTTGTATCAGTGTGTCTGTGAAACCGTATGTGTGTCAATATTTGCATCAATGTTTCTATATATCTGCATGTGTGTCAGTGTGTGCATCTATATGTCTGTATCTATTTGTGTGTCAGAGTTTGTATCTGTGTGTCTGTTTATCTGCATGTGTGTCAGTGTGTGTATCTGTATGTGTGTGTGTGTTTATCAGTGTGTCTGTGCAATTGTATGTGTGTCAGTGTTTGTATCTGTGTGCCCGTGCATCTGCATGTGTGGCAGTGTTTGTTTCTGTGTCAGTGTTTATATATGTGTGTCTTTGTGTGATTTTGTGTGTGTGTGTGTGTGTATCTGCATGTACGTCAGTGTTTGTATCCGTGTGTCTTAGTGTGATTTTGTGTATCTGTATGCATGTCAGTGTGTGTATCTGTGTATTTGCATGTGTGTCAGTATCTGTATATGTATGTATGTATGATTGTATGTATGTTGAGTAGAAGCACTGAAAGCTTAGGGCAGAATAAATGGGGTGGTTGGGTAGAGCAAAACATATGAATTTGAAATAACAGAAACTATACTAATTACAAAAATTTTACTAATAGAAGCGGTACAGTTTATGGAAGTAGGCTGCCAGGGGGTACACAAGTCAAAAAAGTTTGGAAACCCCTTTTTGGTTTCCTTATATGACATGCTAGCCCACCATGCCCGCCTACGCTCCGATGTATAACTTTTTCTTAGAATCCATGACTTCTTCATGGGTAAAATATGCAACTTTATGTTAGGGCATTAACTATGTGTCTGAGAGAGGTTTTCACGATGTTTGTGCTTGCTATATTTCTTTTATCGGTAAGTAAGCATGATAATAAATATAAATATTGGACCCATTTAGATATGTACTGAAGGCCTACCGCGAGTAGGGGCATGTCTAGTAAACAGTGAGCAGCCTATGGCTGCTCACTGTAAAAAAAGAATTAACCAATCAGAGTGTTTCCAAAATTCCAAAGAACTTTCCCACGCTGTGTAAAATGACATAGAGCACTCTGATTGGCTGGATTTCAAGCTAACCAATCAGAGTGCTGTGACAGGTAAATGTAGAGACTTACCTGTTAGTCTCTTCATTTACCTGTCAGAGCACTCTGATTGGATGGCTTAAACCAACCAACCAGAGTGCCCTGAGCCTAATTGCACGGCGGGGCAAGGCTTTATAAGTCTTCCCCCACCCTGCAGAGCTCAGTCTGCGCGGAGCCCTCCATGGGTGAAGATGGTTTTTTTTTTTTGCGCTCAGGTTTTTTTTTCCTTCAAAGTGTGACAGTTATTATGGAATTTTTTTGCCCTTTTTTGGGGCAGAAAAAAATGTTAATAAAACTTACCATTTGATGTCTTCTTTTTTCTATTTTTTTTCCAGGTACCTAGTTAATGGTCCCCCCTCGTTATTTTTAGGGTGAGGGGGGTAGGTTAGGGTTAATTCATTTTTTGGGAGGGGGTGACTAGAGGTTTGGGGACCCCACCCACCGCTCAGGGGTGGGGGCCAGTGGGGAGGACAATAGGTCCCCCTCTTATTGGTATTTAGGGCCCCCACCCACCGCTCAGGGGTGGGGGCCAGGGGGGAGGACAATACCTTGCTGGTATTTAGGGCCCCCACCCGCCGCTCAGGGGTGGGGCCTGTGGGGGAGGACAATAGTTCCCCCCCTTATTCTAATTTAGGGCCCCAACCAACCGCTCAGGGGTGGGGACAAAAACTTAAAATTTAATTTTTACTTAGTATTAGTAAATTTGTCTGAAAGACCAATTTAGGTCTTTCAGCCTTTTGGTAGATAACGTCCTAATACCGTGGGAATTAGGGAGTTATCTACTAAGCGGCTGCAAGAAAAGTCCCGAAGTGCCGAAGTCCCGAAAATCCGAAATGCCGAAGTTCCAAAATTCTCGAAGTGCCGAACCGAAGTGCCGAAGTTCCGGAATGCGGAACTGAACCGAAATTTTTTCCCATACACATCCCTAGGTGAGACAATAAAACTAAATACCTGTAAATAAATTTAAAAAATACTTATCATTTGATGTCTTCTTTTTTCTAAAACCTTATTTTTTCAGCGTCAAAAAGGCCAAATAAAAATCCATAATACCCGTCAAACTTAAAAAATAAATTAAAAACTAAATTAAAAACTTGAGTGCAAAAAAAAAAAACTATGAGTGTATTTAGAGTAAGTAAATAAGAGTGCTCTGATTGGTAACTTGCAAGGCTCAAATTTACCTATCAGGCAAGGCTCAAATTTACCCATCAAAGCACTCTTATTGGTTGGCTTGTAATCCAACCAATCAGAGTGCTCTGAGTCATTTTACACAGCGTGGGAAAGTTCTTTGGAATCAGAGCGCTCTGGGTCAAATTGCAGGGCATGGGAAGGCTTTATAAGCCTTTCCCCACCCTGCAGAGCTCAGCCTGCGCGGCGCCCTTGTTGAGTGAAGATGGGTTTCTTTTGGCGTCTGGGGTTTTTTTCAGCGTTTTTTTTTTTTTTCCGTATTTTGTATTTTTTAATTCTTTTTAACGTTTTATTTAGCCTTTTTTGGGGCTGAAAAAAGAAGGTTTTAGAAAAAAAGAAGACATCAAAAGGGAAGTTATTTTTATTTACTGATATTTAGTTTTATTGTCTGCCTCCTCACTATTTTTAGGGTGAGGGGGGTAGGTATGGCTTTATTTAATTTTTTGGGGGTATTTTTACATTTAGCCCACACCCGTTGCCAATGGGTGGGTGCCGGGGGGGTGGAGGACAATAACCCACCTATTGTCTTTTAAGGCCCCCACTCGCTGCACATGTGTGTGGATAGGGGGGGACTATAGGTCCCTCCCATTGTCTTTTAGGGTCCCCACCCACTGTTCATTGGTGTGGACCGGGGAGGAGGACAATAGTTCCCACCCCCCTTTTACATTTAGGGCCTCCACCCGCCGCTCATGGGGGGGGGGCCCCGGGGGTCAATAAATAGGTCCCCCATTGTCTTTTAGGGCCCTCACCCATGCTCATGGGTGGGGGCCAAGGGGGACCCTATGTCCCCTGTTTAGTTGAATAGCCCCTACTCGCAGTGCACGGCTGAGGTCTCGGGGGGGACACTATGTTCCTCCCCCCGCTATTTCAGAGATGTTTTTTATAACAGCCACAGGCTGTTTACTAGACAGGGCCGGACTGGGAGAAAAATTCGGCCCGGGCATTTTTTTTAACACAGCGGCCCACTAAAAAGGGGGCGGGGCAGAGGAGGTGTGTTTTGTCATCACCAATGACAAACACGCCTCCTCTCAAAGTGAGCATGTTGGTTCAATGCTCTTCCAGGGCAGACCATGCGCAGAGCTCTGCTGAAGAGCTCTAGCATGAGAAAAAAGTCCTGTATTTGTTCTGCACAGTGCAAGCAAATTTAATAACATGCTTGCACTGTGTTTCCTTGCAACTTGTCTCTGGTGTCTCTATAAATGGATACCAGGAGACAAAAGGCCAGGAAAGAGTATTGTGCATGTGTTTGGAGCCTGCTTGTGGTATTGCATGTGTGTAGAGTGAGCTGGTCGTGGTGTGGTATTGTGTAATAAGGTCGGTTTTAGTCGTGTTGTGTTTGTGGTGTAATGTGATGCATATGTGGCTCAGGGACCCCCTCCCGCCCGGCTCTGGAAAGGGGTTAAAACTTACCTTTTTCCAGCGCCGGGCGGGGAGCTCTCCTCCTCCGATCCGCCCTGTCGGCTGAATGCGCACGCGTGGCAAGAGCTGCGCGCGCATTCAGCCAGTCGCATAGGAAAGCATTTATTATGCTTTCCTATGGACGCTTGCGTGCTCTCACTGTGATTTTCACAGTGAAAAGCACGGAAGCGCCTCTAGCGGCTGTCAATGAGACAGCTGCTAGAGGCTTTGGGGGAAGGCTTAACCCATTGATAAACTGCTATGTTTATAAAACAATGGGTTAACCCTAGAAGGACCTGGCACCAAGAGCACTTCATTAAGCAGAAGTGGTCTGGGTGGCTAGAGTGGTCCTTTTAAGAGTGTAGTGTGTGTGTGTGTGTGTATATATATATATATATATATATATATTTGGAAGTATTGTGTATGTGTGTGGTGAAGTGTGTTGGGGGGGTTCTGTGTGTATGTGAGGGGTGCAGTATGTGTGTGTGTAAGGGTGCGGTGTGTGTGTGTGAGGGGTGCGGTGTGTGTGAGTGCCGTGTGAGAGTGCCGTGTGTGAGTGATGGGTGTGAGAGTGCCGTGTGTGAGAGTGCTGTGTGAGATGGGTGTGTGAGAGTGCTGTGTGAGATGGGTGTGAGAGAGTGCTCTGTGAGAGTGCTGTGAGTGTGATGGGTGTGAGAGTGCTGTGAGAGAGTGCTGTGTGTGTGTGAGAGTGCTCTGTGAGAGTGCTGTGAGTGTGATGGTGTGAGAGTGCTGTGTGAGAGAGTGCTGGGTGTGAGAGTGCCGTGTGAGAGAGTGCTGTGTGTGTGTGAGAGTGCTGTGAGTGTGATGGGTGTGAGAGTGCTGTGTGAGAGAGTGTTGTGTGTGATGGGTGTGAGAGTGCTGTGTGTGATGGGTGTGAGAGTGCAGGGTGTGAGAGTGCTGTGTGTGATGGGTGTGACAGTGCTGTGTGTGATGGGTGTGAGAGTGCTGTATAAATGTTATTGTGTGTGTGTGTAGGGGGGGGTAAATAAAATTTAAAAAAAAACAAAACAAAAAAACAGTAATTATTCCCCCCCCCTCCCTTCTTACCTTTAGCCTGGGAGGGGGGGTCCGGCACGCTGGCAGGCGGGGTGGAGCTGTTCCCTGGTGGTCCTCGTGGGTGAGTGAACTCTAGCCAGCATAGCCTGTGAGGCTAGAGTTCACTCTCGCGAGATCCGGTCGTTGCCATGGCAACGCGCCGGATCTCGCGAGAGGAACCCGGCGGAGCTGCAAATTAGAGCTCCGCCGGGTCCTCTCTCCAGCCTGGCTGGTTGGCTCCCTCTCTCCCCGCCGGCGGCCGCATGTGGGCCGGTCAGGGAGATCCTTGATCTCCCCACCGGCCCGTCGTGGAAAACAGCGGGGCCGGCCCTGCATAGACCGGCAGGGGAGATCCTGGGACCTCCCCTGCCGGCCTCGGCCCCACGGCCACCGCGGCCCACCGGGCATTTGCCCGGTGTGCCCGATGGCCAGTCCGGGCCTGTTACTAGACATACCCCTTCTCACAATATAGTGGGTAGGGGCATATTAATTACTAATACTAAGTAATTTTTACTTAGTATTAGTAAAGTTGGCCCACTGATACCGTGGGAATTAGGGAGTTATCTACTAAGCGGCTGCAGCAAGAATCGGATCTTCATTCGAATCAACCTAAAAGTACCGATTGTTGTCCAACAATCTGTTTTCATTCTGTTAGGATGAAAATCTGTATTTTCACCGGCCTTTTGTCTAAATGACAGGACGTTTGGGAATAGTGAAATGAGGCATTGCAAAATCACAGAGAAAAGGTTAGAATTGTGGGAAAATTTCTCTGACTATAGGAAATGAAGCACACTTTGCTCCTCCACTGGTCATAGCTGGTCAGGCGTAGGAAATATACATAAGACAAAATAGTCCCTACTTTGTCTTATGTTTTAAAGAAAACTGGAGTAGATAGGAAGAAGTGAGAGAGGAAGAGAAGAGTAAGTGAATGGGGAAAGCTAAGTTCGGCATTACGGTGCCACTTTAAAGGGACGCTATAGGTACCCAGAACACCTCAGCTCATTGAAGTGGTCTGGGTGCAGTGTCCCTGTTGCACTTATTGCTGCAATGTTAAACATTGCAATTCTAGAGAAACTGCATGTTTACATTGCAGCAATAAGTGTGCCTCCAGTGGCTGTCTCCCAGTAATGTCAGAGGAGGTGTAGCCACAATCCAGCACAGAGGGACATCAGCGCTGGGATCAGATAAATAAATAAATGGTTTTTAACCCTTTATTCACGTTGGTAAGAAGAGAGGGGGTTGTGAAGGAAGGGGGGAGGCAGAGGGATCTATAGTACCAGGAATACAGCTTTGTATTCCTAGCACTATAGTATCCCTTTAAAGGACCACTATAGTGCCAGGAAAACATACTCGTTTTCCTGGCACTATAGTGCCCTGAGGGTGCCCCCACCCTCAGGGTCCCCCTCCCGCCCGGCTCTGGAAGGGGAAAGGGGTAAAAACTTACCTTTTTCCAGCGCTGGGCGGAGAGCTCTCCTCCTCCTCTCCGCCTCCGTTACGCCCCGCCGGCTGAATGCGCACGCGCGGCAAGAGCTGCGCGCGCATTCAGCCGGTCTCATAGGAAAGCATTTACAATGCTTTCCTATGGACGCTGGCGTGCTCTCACTGTGATTTTCACAGTGAGAAGCACGCAAGCGCCTCTAGTGGCTGTCAATGAGACAGCTACTAGAGGATTAGGGGGAAGGCTTAACCCATTCATAATTATAGCAGTTTCTCTGAAACTGCTATGTTTATGAAAAAATGGGTTAACCCTAGCTGGACCAGGCACCCAGACCACCTCATTAAGCTGAAGTGGTCTGGGTGCCTAGAGTGGTCCTTTAATGAATAAGTTTGTGTATATATATCATGCCCCTGTAGTCTCACAGCGTAATTCTCTGCCATTTAGGAGTTACATAACTTTGTTTATGCACCCCTAGTCACACCTCCCTGCAAGTAACATTGCACGGCCTTCCAAAACATTTCCTGTAAAGAGTAATCTAATGTTTACACTTCCTTTCTTGCAAATTATGTTTAATTTAGAATTTCTTATCTCCGGCTCTGTTAATAGCTTGTTAGACCTTGTTTGAGCCTCCTGTGTGTAATTGTAAAGTTAAGTTAAAGTAAAGTTAAATTTACAGAGCAGGAGATAAAAACTTGAAATTAAACCATTTTTTTTCATGTAGCCTATGTGAGTCACAGCCAGGGGAGGCGAGGCTAGGGCTGCGTAAACAGAAACAAGTGATTTAACTTCTAAATGCCAGAGAATTGAGCAGTGAGTTCAGAGGCATGATCTATACACAAAAAGTGCTTCATTAGATGGACACTCCATTGCACTTTTACAAAATAAATAAAAATCATTGTTTATTAGATATACCCCCTATGGAAACTTGCATGCATTTAATTATGCATTCTTTCACTAAGATGTATATCTAAAACAGTTTGCAAAACCTACA